GGGCAGTGTTATGACAGCGGAAGCATGCGCGCTGGAGTTTCTAGAGGGATCATGACTTATCAAGGAACCCGCTAGTGTCTGAATGTTTGCCAGGCACCCTCTTTTTTAGTATTGTTGCATCAGCTGGGTCACGTGATTGGTATCACGCCACATCCTTCTCGAACTTTCATTAATTATCGGGAGACTACTAGATTGGGGGTAGTCTGGTATATATATAAGACGGTTCACAACGTGACGGGGCAATGAGTAATTGAACTGCAGTCAGAGAGTGTGTAATTGAACTGAGTATTGTTGAAGTCGAGCACGTGAGATGTTCGTTGAGAATTATAGCGTTTGTTATAGCGCGACTGTTGAAATTAAGTGTATCCAAAAGTTATATTCAGAAAGAATAAACCAGTTTTATTTAAGAAAGGACTTGTGTCGCTAAAGTTTCGTCGGAACGAATTTACGGAAAATTAGCTAACGAACGGAGACGTAAGAATATGATAAGATAAAGTTGATTGTTGTGATACTATACCATCATATTTCAACAGTTGAATTTGTCTACTGTAAACCTTTCTATTGAACAAGATAAGATAAAGTTGATTGTTGTGATACTATACCATCATATTTCAACAGTTGAATTTGTCTACTGTAAACCTTTCTATTGAATATGATAAGATAAAGTTGATTCATGTGATACTGTACCATCATGTTGGGTCTATCAGGTCCTAAGCCAAAAAAAATAAATAAATAAAAAGTTTTTTGTAAATGTCAAGATGCAAAAGGAAGATCATGTAAAATATTCATATGTTTTACTTTGAAAAAAAGTTTTATGGAAAATATTTTTAAAAATATTTTTGATAACCTTTATACACTAAAATGCAACCCATTAGATTTAAGAAAATGTTGAGTTATAGTTTCTTTGATATTTGGCATGTTATTAGGTATAGATGCTTTAGTTGTTCCAAAAAAATAACCACACACAATATTAGGTTATCCAGAAGACGTATCTTAAAGTTGTACCAATGGGATAGAAATGAGAGAATTGGGGTCTGTTGGAAGTTATAGGAAGATACCATGAACAACGAGCACATCGGTGCTGTCATCTATTGATGCCATTATTTGTAATTTCCTGTGAGATCACATGCAACTGATGGAGCATTAAAAATACAGTAAAATTAAGTTTTTGTGGAAATATGTAGAGACCAGTAATTGCTGGTGTGCCATAAGATGAAACAGGCAGTTTCTATTATCTTTGTAGTACTTCATATGTAAAATTTGTGTGTAATGGTTGGAACCAGTTTCTGTAGATTAATATTTCAACATGTACAGAAAATATGTTGTGATGATTGATTTTACATCCTCCAGGTTCTAGGACTTTGGTGGTCATGAATCCCACGTTTCTTACTTTTAAAAATAAACTTTTAATATGGTATGTCTATTTTCAGATCATTTCAGTATGTGTCCATATACAAATAAGATTGAAGGCTATAAAAATTAGACTTTGCCTTAGTAATTTCTATATGATAATGAGTCATTATGTTAAATTCTGTACTTCTCAGACAGGTAGTAAATATCTTGGAGAAGAGGGAAGACCTACTGAACAAATGTCACGATTCTCATATTAGTGGAGATTGAGGATTTTTTAAAAATATTTACTTTGAAAATTAAAAACTTAAAACTCAAGTAATATTAATATATGATTTATTAGCCGTGTTTTGATGCCTAGTTTATTAATATACTAGCAAGAAGGTTAAAATGATATCTATTCTGTCATATTTTAGATATAAAGACCAGTGTGAACATCTGTTGTGGAAGCCGTTTTCCTGATTATCATCTTTTAAAACAAGAAGATCCATTTAAAGACGTGAAATCTTCAAAATCAAACAGTGATATTTGTGGAAAAACAAATATAAATGGAAGTAACATAAAACAATCTAATATACATGAAGTTGATGATAAACCATACAGTTATGTAACATGTGGAAAGGAAAGTGTAACATTGGATAACGTAAAACAATGTAATATACATGAAGGTGATGATAAACCATACAGTTATGTAACATGTGGAAAGGAAAGTGTAACATTGGATAATGTAAAACAATCTAATATACATGAAGGTGATGATAAACCATACAGTTATGTAACATGTGGAAAGGAAAGTGTAACATTGGATAATGTAAAACAACACAAGAGAATAACGTACAGAAAAAAGCATGAACAAATATATACTGTGGAGAAACCTTATAGTTGTGCAACTTGTGGAAAAGAGTTTAGAATGAGCCGTTTCCTAAAATATCATGAAAGAATACATACTGGAGAGAAACCTTACAGTTGTGACTTTTGTGGAAAACAGTTTGTAACTAATGGTAATTTAAAAAGTCACATGCGAATACATACTAGGGAGAAACCTTACAGTTGCAACTTTTGTGGAAAACAATTTGGATGTAATGGTAACTTAAAAAGTCATGAACGAATACATACTGGAGAGAAACCTTACAACTGTGTAGTATGTCATAAACAGTTTAGGACAGATAGTGCATTAGGCTTTCATAAAAAAATACACACTGGAGAAAAACCTTACTGTTGTGCAATTTGTGGAAAAGACTTTAGAACAATTTCAGAATTACAAATACATCTAAGAATACATACTGGAGAGAAACCTTACAGTTGTGACATTTGTGGGAAACAATTTGGATGTAATGGTCACTTAAAAAGACATGAACGAATACACACTGGGGAGAAACCTTATAGTTGTGTTATATGTGTAAAATACTTTAGAACAAATTGGGAATTAAAAAAGCATCAAGGAATACACACTGGAGAAAAGCCTTACAGTTGTGATGTTTGTGGCAAACAATTTAGAAGTAACTCTAGCTTAAAAAGACATGAACGAATACATACTGGTGAGAGACCTTACACTTGTGTAGTATGTGATAAACAGTTTAGAACAAATAATGCAATAAAATATCATCAAAGAATACATACTGGGGAGAAACCTTACTGTTGTACAATTTGTGGGAAATACTTTAGATCAACAAGTGACTTAAAAATGCATCAAAGAAAACACACTGGGGAAAAACGTTATTGTTGTACAGTTTGTGAAAAACAGTTTCGAACAAGTATTGAATTAAAACGACATAAAATAAGATATACTGGGGAGAAACCTTATTGTTGTGATGTTTGTGGAAAAGACTTTAAAACAAATGCTGAATTAAAACTACATCAAAAAATACATCAAAGAATACATACTGGAGAGAAACCTTACACTTGTGACCTTTGTGGGAAGCAGTTTGGAACTAACTGTAGCTTAAAAAAACATGAACGAATACATACTGACAATAAACCTTATTGTTGTACAGCTTGTGGAAAAGACCTTAAAACAAATGCTGAATTAAAACAACATCAAAGAATACATACTGGGCAGAAACCTTATAGTTGTGACTTTTGTGGGAAAGAATTTCGAAGTAATAGTAACTTAAAAAGACATGAACAAATACACATTGGAGCAAAAACATTAGTTGGATAGTGTGTGAAAAACTGTTGTTGATTTTGTACAATAGATTTTGGAATAAGCAGTGATTTAAAATGTTATAAAAGAATATATGCTGGAGAGAAACCTTACAGTTGTGACTTTTGTGGAAACAATTTAAAGAGAACTAGCTTAAGTGATCATGAAGGATTACATACTGGTGTGAAACCTAACTCTTATGCAGTATGTGATAAACAGTTTATAACAAATAAGGCAATAAAATATCATCATAGAATACATACTGGGTAGAAACATTACTGTTGAAGAACTTGTGACTTCAAAGTGTATCAAGTAAAACACTGTTTGGATGTAGTGGTAACTTAAAAATACATGAACGAATACATACTGGGGTGACACCTTACACTTGTACAGAATGTGATAAAAATTTTAGAACAAATGATACATTAAGATATATAGGAACACATACTGGAGAGAAACAGTTAGTGAAAAATAATTTCAAAGCAACTCTATCCTAAAAGTGCATTGAACGATACACACTTTGGAGGGAAACCATAAAGTTTTTATAGTTTATAGAAAACAGTAAATTAAAATACATCAAAGAATGAACACCTGAAAGAAATCATACTGTTATTTACTGTGTTGTAAATAGTTTGTAACAGACTGTAACTACTACTGAATGTGGTTATTGTTTAAAGTTTATTGAACCAGATGAGACAGGATTGATGTGCACAGATCTGTCTTTGGTGTGTTTATGATACCTTTAGTTGGGTATTACTGTGTGTTAGTGTTTGATATGGTAAAGTGACAATAAAAGAAATAATAATATAAAATTAAATCTGGATGGAGAGAACAGTCATTGTTTCTGTAAAAGGAAATAGTAAGAAACTTTATAACTGAACAGTTTTATTTCCTAGTTTTTTATGTATAAACAGTAAGTATTGATTAGAACCAGTTTCTTTATATTAATATTTCAACATGTACTGAGAATGTCCTGCTGTAATTGGTTTCCATGGTTATGATTTTTCTCAACACTTACAGACCTGTGAATTGTGGGTCATGAATAATCTTGAACTACAATATCAATTAAAATGTTTTAAAATCATCACACAGTTTCTAGTAAGATGGCTCCGTATTAATAATAGAATAAATAAAATATTAATAAACATTTTTATTTTGCCTAAAGTTTAGTATTTGTAAATATTTAAATAGATTTTTTAAACAAGAATTTTAAAGTATTTTTGTAAGTCATATGTTAAGAAAACATTATTTTATTGTATGTGGTTATTGTTCGGGACGAACAATATTAAGGAGGGGGCAGTGTTGCGTCATCGAGATCACGTGAATAATCTCAGGCCCTCTACTTTCTATAACTATCCTGTACTTTGGCGAATGCTCTAGCATTTACTAGATATAGGGTAGGCTGGTATATAAAAGAGGGTGACAACGTGACGGTAGAATAATATGTGTGTAGACAGTGAGTAATTGATCTGCAGTCAGAGAGTATTATTGAGCACGTTCGTTGTTATAGTGCGATTGTTGAAATTAAGTGTATCGTAAAGTTATATTCGGAAAGAATAAACCAGTTTTATTTAAGAAAGGACTTGTGTCGCTAAAGTTTCGTCGGAACGAAGTTACGGAAAGTTAATTAACAAACGGAGACGTAACAATAAGATATTTCCTAAAAGTAATCAAGGAAATTAGTAGTTGAAAGTGATGTTGG